GTGTGTTTTTCTTTCTTTTTTTGGTCTTTCTGAGACAAGGTCTCCCTGTAGCCCCAGCTGGCCTGGAATTCATTATGTAGACCAGGCTGGCCTTGAACTCACAGAGATCCACCTGCCTCTGCCTCCCAAGTGCTCAGATTAAAGGCGTGCGCCACGATGCCCAACGACCTCTTGAACTATGATGACCTGACTGGGAGGTTGACCTGAGTGCTGAGATTATAGGTGTGTACCACCACATCTGCTTTAATGCTATACTAAAAAAAGAAGCTTTTTTTTTTTTGTCATTCATTGTTGTTTTACCATTGCCTGTCTGTATTAACTCTGTGGCTTGAAAGCAGACTTTGGTTGTACAGCAGCGGCTTTGTACCGAAGAGATGGTATGTATGTAGTGTCTCCCCGTGAATGGACCTGATGGGTTCCTGGTGGTAGAGGCCCCACCTATGGCCCTCTGATTCACCTGGCTTCTGCAGGTGCCTCCTTAGGCTGAGTTCTGGGAAGAGCTAGTCATCAGAACAGACCTGTCCCTGGTCAGCTGGGCTTGGTGGTGAGGGCTGAGGCAACTTTGTTTATGCAGATGATAATTGATGAGACTTCTAGAGGAGGATGGTGGCTAGGAGGCAGCATGGGCAGCTATTGCTGTCCATTAAATAGCTGCTGGACCAAGGCCAAAGCATGTAGATAGTATAAGATGGGTAATTTTCAAAGCAGGATATTTTGGTTAAAAATAGGGATTCTGATGCCAGTGGCCTAGGTTCCATCCTGGCACTAGTTACTAGTGGGAGTAGCTGGTGATACTCGTATGCCAGTTACCTAATTTCTCTGTCCCTTGGCCTTCTTTTGTGTGGAATGAGGGTACTATTCACACCTGTCTTATTGAAATACTGTGTGATTTAAGCAAGTGAATACATTGCCAGTACTTGAGTAGTGTCCAGCCCTACCATTAGTACTCAGTGAATATTAGCGACAGGCACAGTGGCTCTGAACCTCAGTTTCCTTACCCGTGGGATGGAAATACCAGCCCTTCCTATTTCACAGGACTGTTGTGAGGATTAAATAAGACTGCCTCATATCCAGATGCATTCCACAGATATTGTCTGGTCTGGGCACTGGGTGGAGTACAAAGAAGAATGAACCATAGATGCCACATTAAGTCTGGCTACAGCTGCAGTTAGGTGACCAGGGGACTTCTGTACCACGGGGGCTATAGAGTTGCTGTGCTTTGCCAGTTAAGCTCACACATTTGGAGCATCCAACAGGACTGTGTTCTCTTGTGAGTCTCTGAATGTGCCCGACTCTCACTAACCAGGCTCTTCATGTTCAAGACCCAATTTACCTATTTAGTGCCAATATATCTCTTTAGTCAGGGATTTAGGGCCCAATCTAAATCTTGGGTCACTTACAGCAAGTCAGGAGCATTTGTCTTGCCTGTCCCTCCTGTGCCTGTAAGCAGGACTTTCTCTGTTCAGTGAAAATGGGGCCCAAGTTAACACCCCAATGATAGGCCTTGTTTGCCCCAAATGTAAACACAAATTGTTTACTTTTTTTGCGACAGGTTCTCCCTGTAGCCCCAGCTGGCCTGGAACTCTTCATGTAGACCAGGCTGGCATCAATCTCACAGAGATCTGCCTGCCTCTGCTTTCCCTCTGCTTTCCAAGGCATGCACAGTCATGCTTGGCTTATTATTTACTTTTTTAGTGGTATATTTAAAATAAATTAATTAATTTAATATTTAGGTTTAACTCTTCACTTGAACAAAACTATCACACATTTTATCATACAACAGTGGAGTCATCAAAGCTATGAATTATGCCCAAGAGTTTGCACACTTAATTATTTGTGCATTGTAATGGTTATATATATATTATATATACACAATATACATAGTTTCGTAAGTATGTGGCATGTGTAGAAGCATCGCCATCATGTCATACCTCCTCATGTTCTCTAAGCAATGTAACACCATAGGAAACAGATCTTTTATTTTTCTTTTAAATTCGAATATGTGGTTTTTCAGATCCAGCTCTTCAGAGCTCCTAGGGTCAGTAATAGCTTCCTATGAGCTCAGCATCCCAGTATCCTCCCAACTTTTGCTTAAGTAAGGGGGCTAGAAGGATTTTTGCCAGCATAGAGTGTCTCTTAAGCTAGTGTCCTGTAAGCTAGGCATGAGATGGTGATTGCTCTAGAAACTGGAGGTAGAGTCCAGGCTCCTGTAGAGTCCCCTCATTACCAGCTGTATAGTGAACCTGTTATCTGGCTCGAGTTCCTTTCTACCCCTTCTCTGATTCCCACTTGGGTCAGAATATTCTCAGGGACCATAATCTGGAATGCAAAAGTATCTTTTTCATCAGTTATAGGCTTTACCTGCTCTCCACCCCAGGAGTGATTGACCTCCCCATGTTCTCCCCACTGGTACTGAAGGAGACCTTTGTACTCGTCCAGAGACCTCAGGCTTTCATGGAGGCCGCTTAAAATACTGACTGCGGTGCCTTCATCCCAAATTCACTTATCCGGATTTAAAGAGGCAAGCCAGGCAAACCTGGAAGATACAGGTGACGTTTCTGTGACTGAACATTCCACATGGCTGATGACCAAGGTCACACCTCTCAAGTCTTAGGACCTAAAGTTACTCTCCTGTTCAAAACCGTGTATGAGTGTGTGAAGTTCGTCAGTGATTATACAACACCCTTATTGTTTACTCATATTTCATAACCCAGTAAATCTTAAGCTAATAATTAGGATAGTTTGAGCCAAAACATTGTATGAGCTTAGATTGCCAAGAGCTAGCTTCCTTTTTTCTTCTTCTTTTCTTTCCCTTTTCTTCTTCTCACACCAGTCTTCCATCCTCTTTTCCTTCCATGTAGTTTGGTGATGTCTGCTGCAGAGTCTCACATTTCAGCAGTGCCCACAGTTTCTCCAAATTTGAATTGAGTTGAGCAGTGCATTTTTAGTCTTCTACTGATTCTCACTTCATCTGTCTCTTCTCTGTCATTTCGATCTTAGCACTTCAGTTCAAGCAGATCCTAATAAACGGGTCGTATAAATCCTGGGTCAGCAGTGGGTCATTTAGAAGTTAACGGATTTCTCTTGTGATCATAACCCAAGTTCTCCTTGCTGGGAGCCAGTCTACTTTTGATATTGGGCACAAGAGGGCAGCAAGAGCTGCAGAATTGCAAGACAAGAGGGACAGTGGGCTTGCGGGGCAAAACCAGGACTTGATTTTACCACTTTCTTGGAAATTCTGCTTTTCTAGTTTGCTTTTTTACCTTGACAGAGTTGATAGGAAATGTTCAAAGCATTGTGCCTTTTTTTTTTATGATTGAAACATTAAACTGCATTAAAGAAATATTTACATGCTGCTTGAGAAGACCTCGAATTTCAAAGAAGGTATTTGGAGTCCCATGCCTTCAAGGCTAGACTCTGGAACAGACAGACACTGTCCTTTTGGCTGGATGTAGTTTTAGTTTCCTAAAGGATTTGATCTGGACACTTCTATGACTTGCTTCCATTTTCCTTCTGAAATATGGATTCAGGCAGAAAAATGACCACTGTGTCTCAAGTTTTCTGCCACAACATCTGAATCTGCAGAGACCTTTTATTCCATAGAGTTACCCCAACTTCCCCTTTCACTTTGGGGACCAGAAGAGTACCTAGTTTTCCTGTCTTCTCCTGCCCAATTGTGGTCACATAACACGTGGCTGACTGTATTAACTGTAGTGGATTCCACATAAATATTTATCTACTTTTAATTTGTCAATTTGGCTTTAAGAAATGGAGCCACTGATACTGGCTGACATTTTGTTTATTTTCTCCATTAGGTACAAAGTTAATCTTGGGTGATGGCCAGTATGTTCATTCACAGAACATATTTTCTGCAATGGCGTGTGTGTGTGTGTGTGTGTGTGTGTGTACATCTCTGCATTCAACAGTGTAAAAAAAAAAAAACCTCACTTTTGGTTACCATTTCTGTATTAAGTTACATCACAATTAAAACACTAGAAAAAGCAAAAAAGAATCACACTGACTTCTGTTGATTTTTTTTTTTCAGTTCTTTTGGTGGAAGGCCCTGTGGCCACTGAGATAGAATGTCAACAGTAGCCCTGGATTTTAAGACAGAAGTTCTCATATCCTTCCTAATCAAAAATCTAGAGATTGCGTAATGATTAAGATTCCCAGCTCAGCTGAGTGGGAAATTGGGCTGTGTAGATGACTTCACAAATACAAAATAGCCTGAATTAGGCTGCACATCTAAGTGGGGCTGGCAGGAGGGATGTCAGTTGCTTGAACTATTGTTCTCTTTCTCTAGTCTGGAAAGGGAGTCCTTGGAATCCAGGGTAAGTTGCTAAATAACTCGTGGAGAAGT